TCAAAAAAAAAAAAAAAAAAAAAAAAAAAAAAAAAAACCCAAAAAGATTCTTACCCTTTATTCCTATACTTAATATACATTTCTGTTTATGGAATAATTTTTTTAAGTAGAAAAAAAATGAATCTTGCTGAATTATTTCTGCTAACATAATATACCCTTTCATGACCTTAACATTTTTTTTTTTTTTTTTTTTTTTTTTTTTTGAGACAGTTTTTTTTTCGTCATCCAGGCTGAAGTGCAGTGCCAGATCTCGGCTCACTGCAACCTCCGCCTCCCGAGTTCAAGTGATTCTCCTGCCTCAGCCTCCTGAATAGCTGGGATTACATGCATCCACCCCCACTCCCAGCTGATTTTTGTATTTTTAGTAGAGACAGGTTTTGCCATGTTGTCAAGGCTGATTTCTTTTTTTTTTTTGGGAGACGGAGTTTCGCTCTTGTTACCCAGGCTGGAGTGCAATGGCGCGATCTCGGCTCACCACAACCTCCGCCTCCTGGGTTCAGGCAATTCTCCTGCCTCAGCCTCCTGAGTAGCTGGGACTACAGGCACACGCCACCATGCCCAGCTAATTTTTTGTAGTTTTAGTAGAGACGGGGTTTCACCATGTTGACCAGGATGGTCTCGATCTCTTGACCTTGTGATCTACCCGCCTCGGCCTCTCAAAGTGCTGGGATTACAGGCTTGAGCCACCACGCCCGGCCGTCAAGGCTGATTTCAAACTCCTGACCTCAGGTGATTGGCATTGGCCTCCGAAAGTGCTGAGATTACAGGCGTGAGCCACCACTCCTGGCCTGACCATAACATTTTTAATGACAGCATATGACATTATTTTTAGATCATTTTCAAGGACAATTTTTCTCATGTATATATATTCCATATTTATCTAAAATTGACATTTTTCCTGAAATGCCTTCTTTTGGAGAAGCTTTTTTTTTCATGCTGTTTTCTACATGTCATTGATAATTTTCTTTGTGATATTTACAATGTATAACTTGGAGATTTCTTTAAAGTTGTATGTTCTGTTATAGTAATGCATTAAAAAGTGGTAAAGTTTTAAATTACAGATAATAAAAGAAAGTTAGGACCTCAGTAGTAATGTTACTTTTGAGATCTGAATTTCATATTTGTTTTGACATGTCATTTCTCAGGATTCTAATCACTGTATTGAAATATACTCACTACTTGCTAATATGTTTACTAAATTGATGCTTCCAAATTTTTTCAGTATTAGATGCATTTTAGATGAGTAATGTACATAATACAATTAAATAGTTTATTATTATGATATTTTTTGTACAAAAAGAAATTAACAAGTTGTGAAGTCACCACTTAATCTTTAGTAGCCCAAAGTTAGAAATGTTGTAGACAAATTTTGAATAATACCCAATTCTAAGATGATATGCCCGATGTTGCCAGGTAAGTGAATAATATTTTATCTTTATATATTTTTCTCTGGTGTTACTTTTCTTCAATTTCCTGTTCTAGCCCCAGTCCTGCTTAGCTTTAGTTTCTAGGAGGAATCTTTTCTAAGTTAGAAATAATTTTTTTTCAAAACTTCTACTCTAAATTTGGAAATGATTCTGAGGTTTATGATTTTTTTTGAATTCCTGCTGAAAAAGTGAATTTTTATATAATTTCAAAAATATTCTAAAAATTAAACTTTGAAATTTTTACGTGTCTGAAAATTCATTCTATAGACAGAAATGCAACATATTCTTTATGTGTTATATATTTTCTCTAGTTTATACAAAGATTATAGAAAGAATTAATTTAGTAGGTCATTCAATGTTATTTTGAAGGATACAAATGTTGATTATATAATGTCTTCATTCATTATAAAATATTTTCATATAAAGTGAGCAACAAAATAATCTATGATACTTTTAATGAAAGCTTAATTCTTAATTTTAAATTCTTTTTTTTTTTTTGAGACGGAGTTTCGTTCTTGTTACCCAGGCTGGAGTGCAATGGCGCTATCTCGGCTCACCGCAACCTCCGCCTCCTGGGTTCATGCAATTCTCCTGCCTCAGCCTCCTGAGTAGCTGGGATTACAGGCACGCGCCACCATGCCCAGCTAATTTTTTGTATTTTAGTAGAGATGGGGTTTCACCATGTTGACCAGGATGGTCTCGATCTCTTGACCTCGTGATCCACCCGCCTCGGCCTCTCAAAGTGCTGGGATTACAGGCTGAGCCACCGCGCCCAGCCCAATTTTAAATTTTTAATTTAAAATAAGCAATGTACTTAAGGATGATATTTTCTTGTCGTTTTAAAGACAGTTAACTTTCTGTGGACTTTGTTCTAACCTTAAACATGATGTTTCCAGAAATTTATTGCTTTCTCCAGATGTTTGCAAGCTTTGAGATCTCACAGACCAGTAAAGTTTTTAAAATTATGAGATGCATCTATTTGATAGACCTGGAACAGTTATTGTTTGCCACTAAGATTTCTATTACAGATGCAAGAAAAAAAGTGTCCTTGCATTTCCTGTCTGATTGTGTCAGCCAACATTGAATGGGGGAATACAGGAGAAAACCTTTGTAATACAGGGAAAAAAACACGAAGAGATAATTTTTACAGTTCACAAATGACTTTGTAAACAGTGAAGAGCTTGTATTACAACCCAGAGAATAATCTAAAATTTGAGTTTAAAAAGTTATGAGAACCAATAGATGGTTGCCAGCTTCTGATTTGCATTTGCCTAAATATGGGCATTGAAAAAAAATGACAGTTTGCACTATCATGTCATAAAATAAGGAAAATTTTCAAAATAAAAAGCTCTTAATTGTATAATAAAGGATGCCTCCTTAAACTGTATAAATGTATCTGTATGGAAATTTCACTACTTTACCTGTTTTTCACATTTTTCCATGGACCTGTGAGAGCTTTATTATGAGCCAGCCCTGGTGAGGAACCTGGTTCTGGAACACAGTATAGGCAGAATTTTAAAAATATTTAGTCCTAGCTGATGAATAAATGGACCTGAAGAGTATATTGATCATCAGTATGATTAAATACAAAACTGGATTGTTAAGAGAGTTATGAAATATTTTGTAAGACCTTAAGGAAAGAATACCAAATCACCTGTTCAAATTTATTTCATTAAAGGAAAGGACATGGAATAGATGATTCTATGAAGGACCTCCCCAGCTTTGTTTTTCTATATGTCTATAACCCTTTTTTTTTTTTTTTTTTTTTAAGTTTTACTTTAGGTGCATACTGTATCTGGCATTTCTCCCCATGTTATCCCTCCCCAACCCCCACTGTCTCTCCCCTACCCCCCCAACTGCCCCAGTGTGTAATGTTCCTCTCCCTGAGTCCATGTGTTCTTGTTGTTCAATACCCACCTATGAGAGAACGTGCGGTGTTTGCTTTTCTGTTCTTGTGTCAGTTTGCTGAGAATGATGGTTTCCAGATTCATCCAAGTCCCTACAAAGGACACGAACTCGTTGTTTTTTATGGCTGTGTAGTATTCCATGGTGTATATCTACGTACCACATTTTCTTTGTCCAGCCTATCATTGATGGGCATTTGGGTTGGTTCCAGGTCTTTGCTGTTGTACACAGGGCTGCAATGAACATACATGTGCATGTGTCTTTATAGTAGAACGCTTTATAGTTCTTTGGGTATATACCTCTTAAAATCTATTTGAGGATCTTTCATTAAACTACTTTAAAAGCAATTTAGTTCATTTCTGATGAATTTATTTAAAATATAATATTTGCACATGACCATGATAGGTTAGAAAATACAACTGGTTGTGGTGATGGGATGATTGTAGTTTCTCCTTGAGATCAGGGAAACCATGGACAACTGTGGAAAAAAGTCCGAGGCTGGAACTTGGGACACATTAAGTAAGGCAGAGTGATATTTATAATTTTGTATGTCATCCACAGCAGTTACCAACAGACAAGAAAGGCCAGTTGTAAAATGGGGTCCACAATAATATCTTGGTCCTGTGGCAAATGAGAATTTATCTTAACTTCTCAGATTATGTTTGGATAAACTTAAGTTTTCTACAGTTTAACAAATTATTAGTTCTGAAATCAAGTATATTCTGTGAAATTATAGTAATATTGATCTGAAGCTCACTGATCAAATCTTTCCCTAATGTAATATAATTAACATTAAATTATGTTGTTAGATTTCACAAAGGTGATAGGGCCAACAATTCTATTGGCTATTAAATATAATGTCCTTAAATAAGAGCATCTTAGATCATTTTTATGAAATAGAAACTGCTGTCATCACTAATATCCAAGCACCTGAATGGGAACCTACCAGGATACTGAACAAAATGTTTGTAACCTGATTCAGGCTGCCTGAACGGCCTCATTTCACAGGTTAATTAAAATCTGACAGCCTAAGAATTGGAGAGTAATTACTGGTCAGCTAGAGATAGATAATTTTTTTAATTTACCCAACATTCTACTGTTAAGCTGAACATTTAGAACTGGAAATATGCCATGTGATTATTAGACTAAGATGGTTTTTAATATTAAAATAAGGATCATTTTGCCATTGCCTCAATATGGCTTCATATCCTTGATACAGCATCTTTTCTTTAAGGGGTAATATCTATATGCCTTATTTATGAAGCAGACATTTTTGTTAGAAAAAGATGTAAACCTATATGACAATAGACAGTTATGTTTTCATTTGTAACCTCCATTGTTAGAATAAGATGAGTTGATTAGATATTTTTTAGAAAAGTGTTTTTTACAACAGAATGTCCTATTGTGTTTTCAAATCTGCCTGAATGTTTTCTCTTTTAATCCTGTCAGCAACTCTGTTAGATAGGGATTTTGACATCAGAGAATGTACGTAACTCACCTGCTTGCCACAGCTGGAAATAATGAAGGTTTGGGTCTGACCTGAATACCAAGCTCTTGCCCTTCCTTCTGCAGTAGGAGAAACTCAATGTACTAAACTCAATGTACTAAGGAGATAGTGACTAGTGGAATCAACAATGCGCTTCCTAATGCAGCAGCCAGGAGCATGATGCGTCTAGAGGACCCTTTCATCAGGGTCATGTATCCTGTTTTTATACTTTTCCATTTCTAGAAAACATATGGCCTAATATTTACTGAGTTATTGGAAGTCCTTTGGAATCACTTCAAAATATCAATATAAAGAAAAGCTTTTCCCTCTCCTCTTATTATAGTTGCATTTCCTAGTAAAGGAGCTTTACTTGTGAATAAATCTAGCATATGTACTGTCTGTTTCAATTCTCAAGACAATTCTCTGAAATTAGGTTTTATAAAATAGATTATTAGACTTCTTTATTTTATTTTTAAGATGAAGTCTTGCTCTGTTGCCCAGGTTGGAGTGCAGTGGCTTGATCTCGGCTCACTGCAACCTCTGCGTCCTGGGTTCAAGTGATTCTCCTACCTCAGTCTCCCTAGCAGCTGGGATCATAGGTGTGCACCACCATGCCCAGCTAATTTTTGTATTTTGTATTTTTAGTAGAGACAGGGTTTCACCACGTTGGCCAGGCCCTTCTCCAACTCCTGACCTTAGCCTCTTTTCCAACTCCTGACCTTAGGTGATACGAAACTACTTTTAAAAGGAAGTTTTTCTGTAGAAGACACTATTCACTGTTTTATCTGAGGTAGTGAATTAGCTTAATGACAGTTGATACTTTCTTTTTTATTCTTTGAGATGGAGTGTCACTCCTTTACCCAGGTTGGAGTGCAGTTGTGCGATCTTGGCTCACTGCAACCTTTGCCTCCTGGGTTCAAGCAATTCTTATGCCTCAGCCTCCTGAGTAGCTGGGATTACAGATGCGTGCCACCATGCACAGCTAATTTTTGTAATTTTAGTAGAGATGGGATTTCACCATGTTGGTGAGGCCAGTCTCAAACTCCTGGCCTCAAGCAATCCTCCTGCCTTGGCCTCCCAAAGTGCTGGGATTACAGGCGTGAGCAACTGCAACTGCCTGACAGTTGGTACTTTTTGAGCTAACTTTGTAATTATGGGAACGTTTCACGTAGTGCCCTGACTTATATGCCTTGTATCATACCTGTTATACCTGTTACTTACTTTTTATGGTTGTATATAAAAGATAAAATCATACCCATGTCATAATTTTTATAATTATGTACCTTTTCATTTTTCTCTTCTTCATTGAAAGATTTATACTTCAGTATTATGTATTCTTATATGTGTTTCCTTTTTCCAGAGGTACTTAACCTTCACTATAAAAGGTTGAATGTCAAAGTTTTTCCAGATATGATGGTAACAGTGTCTGCTTCCATAATCCTTCTCTTGTATTTGCCCCTTTCCTTTCAGAGAATGCTGTGTATACCTTTGGGCTGGGAAAATTTGGTCAGCTGGGTCTTGGCACTTTTCTTTTTGAAACTTCAGAACCCAAAGTCGTTGAGAATATTGGGAATAAAACAATAAGTTATATTTTTTGTGGAGAAAATCATGCAGCTTTGTTAACAGGTATGGATTAGAATTTCTGTTATATATTTATAGAACTGGGCATATTTTATTACAAAATAAATTATATCTGAAATGAATGTATCTAACTTAAGGAGTTCATGGCTAAGGAAAATGTAAATCCATGTTTAATATTCCAAATATAAAGTTGTGAGCTCCTTTTTATTATTTTAATTCAATTTAGAATGTAAATGATCCCAATATTTAGAACCTCACAATAGGCTGATGATGTCAGAAGTAAGACCATAGTATTATTCTTTGGCAGAAAACAGGAATCTTTTTGAAATTGTATCAGTCTGAAGGCTTTTTTTTTTTTTTTTGAGACGGAGTCTCACCCTGTCACCCAGGCTGGAGTACAATGGCACCATCTCGGCTCACTGCAACCTCCTCCTCCCAGGTTCAAGCGATTCTCTTGCCTCAGCCTCCTGAGTAGCTGGGATTACAGGCGCGTACCACTATGCCCAGCTAATTTTTGTATTTTTAGTAGAGATGGGGTTTCAACATCTTGGCCAGGCTGGTCTTGAACTCTTGACCTCGTGATCCACCCACCTCAGCCTCCCAAAGTGCTTGGATTACAGGCGTGAGCCACCGAGCCCGGCCAGTTTGAAGGCTCTTACCTCTGCTCAGGCCAAAAGGAAAAATCCCACAAGCAAAAACTTAATTTTTTTTTTTTTTTTTTTTGAGACGGAGTTTCGCTCTTGTTACCCAGGCTGGAGTGCAATGGCATGATCGATCTCGGCTCACCGCAACCTCCGCCTCCTGGGTTCATGCAATTCTCCTGCCTCAGCCTCCTGAGTAGCTGGGATTACAGGCACGCACCACCATGCCCAGCTGATTTTTTGTATTTTTAGTAGAGACGGGGTTTCACCATGTTGACCAGGATGGTCTCGATCTGTTGACCTCGTGATCCACCCGCCTCGGCCTCCCAAAGTGCTGGGATTACAGGCTTGAGCCACCGCGCCTGGCTAATTTTTTTATTTTTAGTAGAGACAGGGTTTCACCATGTTGGCCAGACTTGTCTCAAACTCTTGACCCCAAGTGATCTACTTGCCTTGACCTCCCAAAGTGCTGAGATAACAGGCGTGAGCCACCGTGCCCGGCCAGGTGTTTATTTTTTCAGACAAAAGACAATCAAAAAGGCAAACCTTAAATATTTTGGGTAAAGAAATCAGGTTGAAAAGAAAGAGAAAGAAGGGATAAAGTTGATAAGGAGTATATGTAAAGGAAGGACATAAATACTTAATAATAAGAATTATGAGAGTCTATAGCCTGGTCAACATGGTGAAACCCAATCTCTACTAAGAAAAAATACAAAAATTAGCTGGGAGGTGACAGTGTGTGTCTGTAATCCCAGCTACTTAGGAGCTGAGACAGGAGAATCACTTGAACCCAGGAGGCGGAGGTTGCAGTGGTTGCAGTGAGCCAAGATTGTGCCATTGCACTCCAGCCTGGGCGACTCTTATCTCAAAAAAAAAAAAAAAAAGTCTAAAAAGTCAAACACTGAATATCACTTATTTATATATTTACAGGGAATCTACCTATTTTTGTAAATTAATTTTTATACTTGCCACCTTACTGGATTATATTATTATTTCTAATGATTTTTCAGTCAATTCTCTTGGATTTGCTTAGTATGCAGTAACTTTGCCATCTTAAACCGGAAGTCCCCAAAGGTGATCCAATTGTTTCCCAGCTTAAAACCATTCATTTTCCTTCTTAATGTCCTTAAGATAAAGTTTAAAAATTCTTCATCTCAACTAATAGGACACAATGAGTAGTCCCTTTTTACTTCTTCAGACTCATCTTCCACCACTCTCCCCTTGGTGCACCAGGTGTGTTAGTTGTCTTTCAGCTTCTTTCCCAAGGCACATTTGCTCTTGATTCAGAGTCTTTCTGTGTACTGCTAACTGCCTGGAAGATTCTTTGTTCCTTTCTTCATGCAGCTAAGCCCTACTAATCCTTTAGGTTTCCCTTTGAAAGCCTTCCCTAATCCCCAGACTAGAGGAAAATTCCCCTCCTCTGTACCATATTAACACCCTTTACTTCTGCTTTCCTGACCCTTATCCCATTTGAGATGGAGGGTATGAAGGAGCGGCTTGAAGAAAGGAGTGTGAAGGTTCATAATAGCTGCTATGGCAGTGAGCAAAAGGACTAACTGATGAGAAGTGGCAAGATTACTCATCATCATTGTGGGCCTAGCTTCAGAGGGGACCCAGGTATTGGTATAGAAATTGGTTAGCATGGTTGGCTTATGGCATTTACTTCAAAGGTATTCCACAGCCCAGGAGCCAGATTAGTTAAACAAAGCCAGTAGTAGAGATTTTGTGTACCCCCCCATCCCCCAAGTTATGTGACAACATTTTGAGACATTTTTTAATTGTCATGGCTGCAGAGTGGAGTTGTCCTACTGGCCATTTAGTGGGTAGAGGCCAAGGATGCTGCTGAACATACTGCAGTGTACAGGAGACACCCATACAACCATGAATTATCTGGCCCCAAATGTCAGTAGTGCCAAGGCTGAGAAAATCTGATCTATCATTGATCTCAGGAAAAAGGAAAATAGTCTGTGCTGGCATGTAGGGGTCAGAATACAAACATCTCCTTCTCCCCTTGGAATATATGATGTGGATCCCAAGCTCTCATGCTGTATTGCTGTCATTTCATACACACTGCCTTGTGTGATGGGTCATCATCTTCACAAACCACCAAGGTTAATTGATTTATTCTCAGAATATTTATTGCCTGATGTTACGTGCAGGACCACAGAGACCATAGAGAGAGTGGAAAGATCAGTAGATCAAAGTAAATTCAATGTAGAATTTGAAGGGGAAAATTATAATTGCAGTATAAGTTAATATATTTATCTGTTTACAAATAGATCCATACAAGTAAAACTTTTGTAATTCTCATTTTTTTGCATTTTAGATAATGGCCTTATGTATACTTTTGGAGATGGTCGCCATGGAAAATTAGGACTCGGAGTGGAGAATTTTACCAATCAGTTCATTCCCATTTTGTGCTCTAATTTTTTTATGTATATAATTAAATTGGTAAGGGCATCACATTTTCCTGTTTATATTTTCATATTCCTACATTTGAGTCTTTCTGTATTTCATAGAATATACTTTTATGTTTGTGTGAAAGAATATCATGGATATATCTAGTAAATATTAGTTTCTTAGAAGCCACATCTCAGACATTATGCCACTCAGAAAATGTCTCTCTCCTAATTTTCCTCCTTTAGCATCATCCTCTTTGCTGAAACCTTGACTCCTCTTTGTTCTCATATATCTCTTGAAAGCTGGGACTGTGCCATGCCTGCAAGCTTTGTATATTGTGTAGCACCCAGCAGAGTAACTTGCTCACAGTGGTCTTTAGTAAATATTTGCTGAATTAAATGTTAGAGACTCTCAAATCCTGCACAACAGAAAGTCTGATAATAGAGTTTTGGCGGGGTGCAGTGCAGGGGCTTACTCCTGTAATCCCAGCACTTTGGGAGGCCAAGGCGGGTGGATCACCTGCGATCAGGAATTTAAGACCAGCCTGGCTAACATGGTGAAACCCTGTCTCTACTAAAAATACAAAAATTAGCCGGGTGTGGTGGCACACAACTGTAATCCCAGCTACTTGGGAGGCTGAGGCATCAGGATTGCTTGAACCTGGGAGGTGGAGGTTGCAGTGAGCTGTGGTTGTGCCACTGCACTCCAGCCTGGGCAACAGAGTGATACTCTGTCTCCAAAAAATAAAATAAAATAAAATAAAATAAAATCGTTTTGGAGATGTGGTATTTTGGTTAAATTTTCTTAGGTTAAGGATATATTACTTCAGTGTCACATCACTATCACGCATCATACCTGTATTGTTTCTTAATACTTTTGCCAGTTTAGACTTTTAAAAATTCTGTTTACTTGATGATAATACTGGCATTTGTCCTCCAAAGACTCAGTGTCTCATAATATGGAACACTTTCATTTATTGATTTGACAATTATTTAATGAAAGCCTACTGTGTATAAGATAGTGTGCTAAATATAAGAAATACAAAGTACTGGCCAGGCAGGATGGCTCATGCCTGTAATCCCAGCACTTTGGGAGGCCGAGGTAGGCAGATCACCTGAGTTCATGAGTTCAAGACCAGGCTGGCTAACATGGCAAAACCCCATCTCTACTAAAAATACAAAAATTAGCTGGCATGGTGGTGGGTCCTTGTAATTGCAGCTACTCAGGAGGCTGAGGCAGGAGAAATGCTTCAATCCAAGAGGCGGAGGTTGCAGTGAGCCGAGATTGCGCCATTGCACTCCAGCCTGAGTGTCAAGAGTGAAACTCTATCTCAAAAACAAAAAACAAAAAACAAAGTACTGTATACAGTGATGAATGAAATAACCAAGTACTCATTCATTGAGGACTTATTTATTACAGTCTAATGATAATTTTTTAAAGGATATATAAATATATATATATTTAAATTTTAAAGTATTATGAAGGAAAAGTAGAACATTATAAAGTATGTAGAACCTGTGTACGGAAAATACTGCACTATGGGGTTTTTTAAAAGCATTTTCTTGCAAATCATTTCTCAAAATTCTTTGAATGCTGATTTCATTTTTCATTGTTCCATCATCATGCATACTTTCATTTATTTTCCTCTAAGAACTTTTAAGCATTAAACTTAGAAAATGTCCATATAAAGGAGGCTTAGAGACATAATTAGCCCCCAGAGACTGATTAATACTTTTTTAAAATAAATTCTTCCAGTAATTTTTTCACATTTTTAATGTTCCTCCCAGATTAAAATATAACATTTTCTAACTGTAAGGAGAAATGTAATTTGCCAATTATTTTTTCTTTATATTATTTTAAATGGAAAGTAAAATGGTGGATTAAACTTGTTTTCATTTGCAATCACAGTGCTTAATGAATATGTATGGTAATTGTGTACATATTGTGTACACATTCTCATTGTGCACACACATATGTATAGACAGATTCACCAAGTCAGTCCATCAACGAAGCCTACCACTAAGTAAATGTCTTACAGCTGATAACTGTTAAAAACTCATTTGTGTTTGAAGCCAGTGTTGATTAGTTTTTCTGTGGATTTATGCTGCAGGTTGCTTGTGGTGGATGTCACATGGTAGTTTTTGCTGCTCCTCGACGTAGAATGGCAGAAGAAATTGAATTTGGTGAAATAAATGATACTTGCTTACCTTTTCTGCCCTTTGGCAATTTAACATCAGGAAATGTACTGCAGAGAACTCTATCAGCACGGATGCGGCGAAGAGAGAAGGTACAATTGTGGCCTATTCTGATAATAGTACTATCTAACACTGCAAAGAAAACTAAAAGAAAAATATGTTTTCTTTTTAAATTGAAAAGTCTTCTCAGATAAATTTGCTAAGTAAAATTATTAGAGTTGAGTGCTTACAAACTTTTAGAGTTAATTCAGAAAACTTCAGAAAAGCTTAATGCTTTTAAAGACACAAATTAGAAAATTTAAATTATGAAAAACCTTTGCATATAGACAATGGTGCTATAAAATCATCCTTTTATAGGCCTATTTCTCACCTCACATTGAATGCTGAATTGTTTTTTCAACTGCTTGTGGTTTGACTTGTTATATGCTTTTTTTATTATGGTAATAAAAACACAACAAATACACCCACTTAACAGAGTTTTTAAGTGTGCAATACAGTATTGTTAACTATAGGCATAATGTTATGTTGCTCAGAAATCTGTGGAACTTAATTATCTTATATAATTCTACATTCTTTTATATTTTAGTTAAACCTCATGAGCAGTGGAAGGTTATACTCTATAAACAATGAAATGGGAAAACAAAGAAATAAGGACTTCAGTTAGAGAGAGGAAATATTTTCTCAATTAAATTTAGAGATTCTCCTTGTGTTTTAAAATTATTGTTCCAATGATGTATATATATGTGTGTGTATTTTTTTTTTTTTTTTTGAGACAGACTCTGTCACCCAGGCTGGGGTGCAATGGTGTGATCTTGGCTCACTGCAACCTCCGCCTGCAGAGTTCAAGCAATTCTCCTGCCTCAGCCTCCCGAGTAGCTGGGACTATAGGCGTGCGCCACCACGCCCAGCTAATTTTTTTGTATTTTTAGTAGAGATGGGGTTTCACCATGTTGCCCAGGCTGGTCTTGAACTCCCAACCTCAACTCGTCCACCAGCCTCAGCTTCCCAATGTGTTGGGATTACAAGTCTGAGCCACCAAGCCTGGCCCCAATGACACATATGTCTTTTAAAGTAAATGGCAAATAATTTTTGAAGGTGACATTCCTTTTTTGAAAATTACTGTAAGTTTTAAAACACATTTTTTCAAGTTTCATAGCAGTTTTATTTGTAATAGCCAACATATTTCTTTTGAAGTAAAAAGGTTAAATCTGATGTTTTGTTATAAAAAAGCATATATGGAAAAGTTAAGAAATACTCCATTAGGGTTTTGTAGTCATTGTTTATTTACATCTCCTAAGTAATGTTTTATTTCTTAGGACGGGTAGAGAAAGTGCACACACTTTTTTCCCCCATCATGTGAAAAAAAGAAGCTACCAAATTGACAATTTAGAGCAAGTAAGGTACAGAGACAACAACAGGACAAATGTTTTTGAGCCTTTGAGGGTTATTAAGAAGTAAATGTTGTGCAGTGTTAGCATATTTTGAAGTCTTTCTCTTAAATATTTTTAGCAACTTTGAGGAAAGTTTATATCAATATTAAATATATAACATCATTTAATAGTTTGTTTAACCTGCTTATTTTAAAGGAGAGATCTCCAAGTTCTATTCCATTGATAAAAACACTACCTCCAGTAGAAGGAACTCTTGACCCTTCCGCTTCTTTTCCCCCCAAATCACTTTTCCCATGTTGTTCTAAGAATGACCTCCTAGAGAGAATCTTACCTGAAGAGGCCCTCATGCAGCCAGAGGAACCAGGTAACTTTTGCTACTCTGTCTGCTCTCAGTATAAATGTGCCTTTTATTCCTGTTGTTTTTATGTTCATCTTAAGATGTTTTCTCCAGTTATTTAAGTTGTTCTCTCCCTGGTTAGAGCCTAAATCTCTCATTTGAACTCAAATCCAGAAGTATCCTTACAAATAGAAAGCACCATCAGTGCCCCTAAGAGTGCCATGTAAGCACAGCAGCATGTCTTTATAGAGCAGTGGATAACAGTCATAGTACCTTCCTTAACTTGATCGTCTTTAAACCCTGAAACCACTCGATGAACTTGGGAGGGAATTATAGTCCTCATTTTACAGATGAGAAAAGCAAGGCTTGAAGAGATCATGTGACTTGGCCAACGTCACTCAGTTTATAAACGAAGGGGTCAGAATTTGAATGCAGGTCTTCTGAATCTTTTTGAAATTCTATGTTTAGGCTGTATAACATAGTGGTTAAGAGCATAGGATATGGAGTTAAACTCATCTGGGGTCAAATGCCAGTTTTGACATTTACTAGCTGTGTGGCGGACTTTGGGAAAGTTGCTTAACATCTCCAAGCCTCAGTTTCCTTGTCTTTGAAATTGATTTAATAATACTGACTTCAGAGAGTGATTGTGAGGATTCAGTGAGATCAGGCATATAAAATGTTTATCATTGAGCCCAACACCTCTAGAAACCCCTCAGTAAAGGTTGTTATGATTAATTTAATATCTTTACCTCACTACCTATTAGATACAGATTTCATGTTTTAAATTGTAATCCCAGCTCCTTCACTATTCTGTACCTCTTCTAAATAATTTTCTTTACAGATATTTGTGTATCTTACTGCAGGACATCTAGAGAGGAAATATTCTTTCTTAATTAAATTTAGGGATTCTCCTGTGTTTTAAAATTATTGTTCCAATGATGCATATTTTTTAAAGTAAATGGCAAATAATTTTTGAAGGATACATTCCTTTTCTGAAAGTTGTAAGTTTCAAAACATTTTTTTTTGAAGGTTCATAGCAGTTTTATTTGTAATAGCCAACATACTTCTCTATTTGTTAGGGGTAGGACAAGAAGCCAGGACCAGGAGATCAGAGAGTAAGCAGTAGATTTGAAATTAAGAAGATAAACCTGGCATCAGGGACTAAGAATGAGGGACTAGGAACAGATAATTTGTATATCTTTGAGATCAGCAAAGGTTTGAGGTAATAAAGGATTGGGAACTTAGGTAAGAATGGTGGGCCATGGGAATGGGATATTACATATAACTAGGATCTTGGTAATGAGCTGATTTCTTATACCTGACCCACAACTTTTATATGTTTTCTTTTGAAATAAGAATCAGTGTTTAATGGTACTCTTCAGACCTGGATATGGAAAAGATAGTAGATTCTGACAAGCAGTTTGTATTGTGTACAAGAGAAAAAAGACATTTATGGTTAGGGAAAATTGTTTCTCAGTCCCAGAGATTTGAATGTGAAAATACGCATAATTTTGTAGCTAGATCAAAAGGAAATGCCATCTCTTGTCTTTTTGTGACTGCTAACACTCTCTTAATGAAGTGTATTTTGAAAGTTGTAACTAACACATACTGTGACTTTTTCTAAATCTTTCACAGATGTCAGTCTTTATAATGGAGGAAAGTGGATCAGGATATGTCTTACTAAGGAGGTGTCATTTAAGCTCAAGGATAAGAAAGAGATGACTATGTATTTAAGGCAAAGAAACTAATATAGGCAAAGGTTTGGAGGCAGTTAAGAAGAAAAGACAACCAATGGGGCTAGAAAGTGAGCAAAAGGATAAGATAAAATAGTATTGGAGAAAGAGACAGTGAAAAATTATTTATGGTTTTACAGGCCATGAGAGACCTACTTGAATGTTTTTCTTAATCGCAATAGAAAGCCATTAAAAGATTTTAAGCAGTAGGCTGTTGTGTTTCAATCCTATTTCTACTTTAAGATGATTATGATCGCTTCTACCTCCATATAGATTTATACAGAGGCCAGACTAGAAATAGGAAGAATACTTGTGAGCCCTTTGCAAGAGATGATAGTGTATGGACCAAGGTGTTTGCAGTGGAAATGGAGAAAAGAGAAGAGGGAATACATGAAATACATTATAGACATAAAAACCAACCAGACTTGCTAAACTTAGTAATGTACTACAAATAGGTTTGAAGTAAAGTGAGGAATCCAAGATGATTCCTAAGCAGGAGGAATGTTGATACGTTTTGAGGAAGAAATTTAAGAACTAAGCCTGAGATATCTGTAAGATATCCAAGCAGAAGTACCAAGCTGATTGTTGAAAAACAAGCCTAAAGTTTAGAAGAGAGCCCTGGACTAGAAATATAATTTTGGAAGCCATCAGCATAGAGATGGGATTTAAAATTGGCTGGGCATAGTAACTTATGCCTGTAATCCCAACATTTTGAGAGCCTGAGGTAGGAGGATTGCTTGGGGCCAGGAGTTTGAGACCAGCCTGGGTAACACAGCAAGACCCACTCTCTATTTAAAATAATAATAGTAATAAAATCCCTGGAAGTTGGTGAAATCAGCTGTTAGATAGTAGAGTCAGAAGAGAAGAGGGCCCAGAATGTAGCCCTAAGAACAGCTAACATTTGAGGGGTAGAGACAGAAGAGCCAGAAAACAAGCCTTCCTCAGCTTTGTCAGCCAGTAAGGCAGGAGGTGGGAAATTAAGATAGCATAGTGTCATGAATGCAAAATACTGCTCAAAGGTCAAGGGAAAGTAATTCAAAGAAGTATCCAATGGATTTGGTATAATGGAGTTTACTGGTGACCTGGACAAGAGCAGTTCTACGGGAAGATCAGGGAAGAAGCCAGAGTGTTAACAGTTGAGTTATGAATAGGGAATGAGGGAGTGAAGAGGAGATAAGATGAACAGATAATTCCTTTGTATATTTGCTGATGAAATGGAGCAGAGAAATGGACTGGCAGCTAGAGGGGGCTGTAGGCTCAGTAGGAAATATTCGTGCACACTTGTATGCTAATGAATGAGCCAGTAGTCCTGGAGAGATAGATAGCACAGAAGAGAGAAAGTATAACCAAAGTTGGAAAGCTCTTGGAAAACAGGAGGGGCTGACATAGAGAGCAGTCTTTGGTAATAGGAAAAATACATCCTGTGTTTTAACAGGCAAGTGAGAACTTGGGTACAAATAGAGGTAGTTGTGTGTATTTATTGGTGAGAAGATCAAGTGGATCAGATATGATGACTTCTGTTTTCTCAGTCAAGTCTGAGGCAAGGTCATCAGCTTAAATAATCTGCTATGTATTTTCCAAACCTATATTCTCTGCCCTCTCCAATCTATCCTGCATAACACTTTCCACATTGATCTTCCTCAGATGCAATTCAGTTTCCATCTGCTCCAGTGTATTCGGTGAATTTATGATATTTATGAAAATAAGTGTTAATTTTCCCATATAATTCCCAACTGTTTTTCTAGGTTTATCTCTCAATAGACTTTTCCTTACAATCTTTATTTAGATCAGTAGTGTACAGACAATGGCTCATGGGCCAAATCTAGCTGGGCACCTGTTTTTATAAATAAAGTTTTATTGGAACCCAGCCATACCCATTCATTTATGTATTATCTGTGACTGCTTTCTGCTACAATCTCATAGGTTAGTTAGGACAGAGACCTTATGGCCTGGGAAGCCTAAAACGTTTACTGTATGGCCTTTTAGAGAAAAAGTTTGCTGACCATTAATGTTGATGAGACTGATCTAGTCAGTCTAACTTAGTGGAAAGAACAAGAGCTGTGGAGTCAGACAGACCTGAGATTGACACTGGACACCAACAGTCACTGAAACTTAATTTCTTCATTTATCAAATGAGGATATAATACTTAACCTTCCTTGTTGTCATAGGGTCAGTGTAACATATATAAAAGCTTATGTTTCTGGCACTTGGTAAGCCTTCAAGACAAGCTTCTTTCCTCTGCTTATTTGCTGAGACTACTGTTCTGCTGCTTTATTAGGAATGGGCTTCATTGTCTTCCCCTTATACCTCCATCTCTGCCTCTTAGAGTTCTAGTCATCCTTCTCTGTACCTCCTTAGTGAAACTTTTCCTGATTCCCAACGTACGGATGTAATTTCTCGTTCCCCTATATCATATGTTTTATATTTCCTTATAGACTATAACTTCATTAAGAAATAGCAATTACAGTTTTTTAACAACAAACAATAACAAAATTGTAATTGCTAATTCTTAATGAACTTATATGTATATCAAAACATCTATTGTATACCTTAAATATAGACAATTAAAAAAAGAATTTGCAATTACTTAGGTTGCTATTCTGCATGTTACCACACATGGAATAAATACCAAATGATTATTTGCCCATTCAATTCAGTAGATTTAAAGGGGAGGGATCAGTGTGGACTGTCATCTTTTAGTGAAGACTTCATTAAGGAGCTACTTCCAAATGTATTGGTGATTACTGAGGGCATAGTGAGAATTGAGAAAAATGCAAAGTAGAGCGTAATGACATTTAATTATCTACTTTATGATGTAATAACCTTGCAATTTTCTGTGAAAAGTTCTAGGTTATACTAGTAATCTGTTGCTACATTTAAAAAATGACCTGAAGACAGCAGATTAAGACAACAAGCATTTATTATTTCACACAGTTTCTGAGAGTCAGGACTTCAGCAGCAGCTTAGCTGGGTGGTTCTGACCCAGCTTCTTTCATAGGGTTGCAGTCATACCATCAGATGGAGCTGCAGTTATCGGAAGGCTTGACTGAGGCTGGAAGATACACTTCCAAGCTCATTCATGTGGCCGTTGGCAGGAGGCCTTACTTCCTTGAGATGCTTACAACATGGACTCCTACAGAGCAAGTGATTAGAGAGAAAGAGAGAGTACACATGTGTGTAGCCAAGATGGGAAGACAGTGAGAGTGAGTGCAAGTATGCACATGTGTATAACCAAAACAGAAGCTATAATGCTATCACAATTACGTCTGCTTTTTTTTACTGGCTGCACATACGGACCAACCTGGTATAATGTGCAAGGGAACTACACAAGAGTATGAACACCAGGAGGATGTAGGTCATTGGGGCCCTTCTTAGGACTAACTGTTAACAGTGCTCGATACCTGGGTAGTTATTTATCCCAAAGGAATAGTGTTTGCCTGTTCATATGAATGAAACAATTGTAATCTAATTGGTGTCAATATTTTTAAACTTTCACAAAGAAATTTTAAAACCTGTATTACTGTGACTGAATTCTTTTTAATTCCCCTGACATGAGGTTAAAGGACTTTTAGTAAAATTATACCTTCACTTTATATTATAGAATAATTTCTGTTTCTGTCCAGTTGTCTTTTACTTTTCTGTTGAAATCTGGATTTCCTTTTTCTCTTTTACCATTCAGATAATTTTCAAGATGAAATGACCAAAGAAGCAGCGATAGATAATTTTTCAACTATAGGAAGCCTTGGAGAAACTACTGATATCTTAAACATGGTAATGATTTCCTGTCTATCTATATAAATGAGTTTGAATTTCAGTTCATCATGTATGTGAATGTGTGTATGCTTCCTATACTCTTACATGCATGAAAGCTACTTTGTTGTTTTTACTTTATTTTGTTATTTTATATTGAGGTATAATTCACATACAATAAAATTTGTTTTCTTTTTTTGAGATGGAGTTTTACTCTTATCTCCCAGGCTGGAGTGCAATGGCATGATCTGCAGCCTCTGCCTCCCGGGTTCAAGCGATTCTCCTGCCTTACCTCCCGAGTAGCTAGAATTACAGGCATGTGCCACCATGCCAGGCTAAATTTTTATTTTTACTAGAGGTGGGGTTTCTCCATGTTGGTCAGGCTGGTCTCGAACTCCCGACCTCAGGTGATACACTCGCCTCAGCCTCCCAAAGTGCTAGGATTATTGGCATGAACCACCACACCTGGCCAATAAAATTTGTTTTGATCCTCACATTATTAGTATGGCAATTGAGAGTGGATTCTATTACTATCTGAACTGTTTTCCCTTCATTTTATATATGTGTGTATATATATATATACACACACACATAATGTACAAATATATATATAATGTATTATTTTTATAATATATATATATTTTTATTTCAGACACACATGATGAGCCAGAATTCCAATGAAAAGTCATTAAAATTGTCACCAGTTCCAAAGCTAAAGGTATAATACGGAGATTTATTTTCATTATTGTTGGTAAGAGCAGTTTATTTTTTTTTTTGGATGGTTTTTGGAAAAAAACACAAGAAACGTAAGCATTTACTTACTTTAGAATTTAAAAGACAGAGGAATATAATGTAGATAACCTCCATTTTGGCTTGTTCTGATGGTATGTATTTTCTGTAAAGAAACAAGTGAGAAAGCATTTTATTGCTGAAATTTGCTCTTTGGGATCACTAACAAGTTATAATAGCCATACTTTTCCTTCTGTCAAGCCATAGATTATGATTGCAGTTCTTATGTATAGGAAAAGACTACCATTTATTGACAGAGTGGCTCTCTGACTTTGGTTGAGTATGACTTTGAATGTATTATTATGCTGACTTTATGGAATGGTTTTAATAACTTTTTTAGCTTTAAAATTTTGTGATTTTAGTGAAAATCTTTGATAACCTTTTCCAATATTTGGTTGGGCTTTAATTTATCAAGGAATTGATAGCATAATAATAAGATTAAACATTTGGAAATCAGACTGTTCATGGGTGGGAAAGAGAGACCTTTAATGAATAACAAATAGCAAAAGAAGGGAATAGGCTGTGGTTTTCACACTCCTAGAGAGATTAAGACCTGCCCTGAAATCTTTTGCTTTACCTGGCTTTAAGGACTAGTGGGATGAACGAATGAGGGATTTGAGGATTAGGAAAATAAACTGGAGAAATGTAATTCAGGGAAGAAGATTATAGAAAATATTTAATTTCTGTTTCTAGTGACTTTGACATGTTTTCAAGTTTAAAACTCTTAAAATTGAAGTCTCTGCAAGGCAAGAGAATCATGCTAAATTGTAAAAATTTAGAGCTAGTCCTCATTCGTTCTATCTATAATTCTAAAAGGCATGGTGAATAACAGCATTCCTTTGGATATGGGAGAGCTGTTCGAACACAGTTGTAGAAGCTCAATAAATATTGACTGATTTTTGACTGACTATACTTCCAAGCAGACATCTCTCGTGCCTTTCATTCCACTTCTCTTAGACTCCAGGCTCTCCCTCTTCTGGACTGCTTTATTGTGCTAGGGAAAGAAAGGTATGTGCCTTTAGAAATCAGTTCTGGCAACTGGGCCTGGCTCTCTTAGGGTTCTTAAAAGAATCAGGATTTTTTAAAGAGCAAGAGCTAGAACAAACAGAAACGGAAAGCAATTCCTTTTAACCTGGTATATATTTTATATATATATATATTTTTTTTTCTTTTTGAGACGGAGTCTTGCACTGTCGCCCTGGCTGGAGTACAATGGTATGATCTCGGCTCACTGCAACCTCTGCCTCCTGTGTTCAAGTGTTCAAATGATTCTCTTGCCTCAGCCTCCGGAGTAGCTGGGATAACAGCTGCCTGTTACCACATCCAGCAAATTATATTTTAGCAGAGACAGGGTTTCACTATGTTGGCCAGGCTGGTCTTGAACTCCTGACCTCGTGATCCGCCCACCTCGGCCTCCCAAAGTGTTGGGATTACAGGCATGCTTTATACTTTCTGTAGTCCTTTTAAGTTTAGGCCCTACCAGGCCTACTTTAATAAATGAGAAAAGATTTATTATACTGTTTCTATGTATTAGCTTGTTAATTTTTAACTTGTCCTGTTTTAATAATTTCTTTGGCACAATAGAAACCTCTTCCTAGACCTAACTCATCACAATTTAAAAATTTGAGTTAGTGAGGTTTTACTATCCAGAGACCCAAAATCATCAGATATTTGCATCTATTTGCTTGTTTGTAGAATTTAGATCAACAATTTGGTTTTGCCTTATTTTGTCCAGCAGGAAATAATTTTATATTGTTAATGCATTTTATTCAAATGTCAGTGTTTGATTTTATAGTTTTTATACAAATCTTACATTTTACACTTAATATTCTTTCCTCTTAGTGTTCTTTCATGTATATAAATTATTATAATTAATATAATGGATACAAGGAAGGTAAAAAATTTGAAAACTCATGAAAATTTTGTTTAGAAAAGAAAACTATATTCATTATTATTTCGTTTATAGATAAAAACATTTCATGTGCAGTTTTTTTTAGTTTTAGGAGTGGAGTATTCATTTTTTTCAAATTTTACATTTTTATTTATTTTGTGAATTTTGTGGACTCAAAAGACAAATCAAAATTTGAGAATTAGGCCAGGTGCGCTGGCTCACGCTTGTAATCCCAGCACTTTGGTTGGCCAAGATGGGCGGATCACTTGAGATCAGGAGTTTAAGACCAGCCTGGCCATCATGGTAAAACCTCATCTCTACTCTATAAAGATCAGTTAGGTGTGATGACACATACCCATAGTCCCAGCTACTCAGGAGGCTGAGGTGAGAGAATTGCTGGAACCTGGGAGTCAGAGGCTGCAGTGAACTGAGATCATGCCACTGCGCTCCCAACTAAGTAACAGAATGAAAGTCTGTTCAAGAAAAAAAAAATTGAAAATGATCGGGAAGGTGGGAAAAATATACTAAGCTACACTGTGTGCAAGGAAAGTGTACATTTTTTTCTTTGAGATGGAGTTTTGCTCTTGTTGCCCAGGCTGGAGTGCAGTGACATAATCTTGGCTCACTGCAACCTCTGCCTCCTGGGTTCAAGCAATTCTCCTGCCTCAGCCTCCCAAGTAGCAGGGATTACAGGCTTTCGCCACCACACCCAGCTAATTTTTGTATTTTTAGTAGAGACAGGTTTTCACAATGTTGGCCAGGATGATCTTGAACTCCCGACATCAGGTGATCCACTTGCCTCGGCCTCTTAAAGCATTGGAATTACAGGCGTGAGTTACTGTGCCAGGCCAAGAAGTGTACATTTTTCAATAGCATCTTGTAAAATCAGTCTGGAAGTGGGTTTTATGTAAGGATTGATTCAGAATGAGAAAAGAGGCAGAGAATAAATATTGATGGTATTGTGAATAATGGCAAAATTAAGACAGGTAGTAAGAGTTGAAAATTAAACACAGATACATGTTACTAAATCAAAATTAGATATATCATAGACTAGTGAGTGGCACAAATGATCCTTAAGGAAAACAAAAAACTTCAGCAAAATATCTGGTAAAACTTGGTATTTTTATTCTCCTAGTTAAACTTATAAAAATGTAAAACCTTGGCAGTATTTAAGGTAGATAAGTTGTCTTTGTCAGCTAATAGTAGTATAACATATGATGATTACTTCAAAAAATTTACAGAAACAGCAAACAATTGGGAATCTGACGCAGTGTACGGCCCTTACTGAAAACGGTAATAGTGATGAATGTAAAGAGATGTCAGAAATGAAAGAAGGGAAAGCATGTAAACAACATGTGTCACAAGGGATTTTCATGACGCAACCACCTATGATTATGGAAGCATTTTCAGATGAGGAAGCAGGTAATGACTCAGGCCAGGTGGGACCTCAGACTGACACTGATGGAGAGGGTTTGCAAAAAGAGGTATTTAGACATGAAAATAGAAGTGGTGTTGATCAGTTTGATGCTAAGGAAATAGAAAAGGAACTGATGGAGGACACAGAAGGATTTAGAAGCAGAAGAAGTAGTCTCTGAGAAAGAAACTAAACTGCAGAAATAACAGATATGAAGGATTTAAGAAGAAGGGAAACTATCACAAAAAATATCAGTACTTTCTTTGGCAACTTACCAGATAGAGGTATGAATACTGAGAGTGAAGAAAATAAAGATTTTGTTAAGAAAAGAGAAAGTAGCAAGCAAGATGTGATCTGTGACAGTGAAAGAGAATCAGTAGAAAAGCCAGACAGTTACATGTAAGGTGCAAGTGAGAGTCGGCAGGATATAGCTGATAGATTCCAGCAGCCTGAGGCAGTAGAATTTAGTAGTAGAGAGAAAGATGATGATGAAATGGAAACTGACCAAAACATATGGTATAGCGGGAAATTGATTGACCAAGGAAACGAAAAAGAGACTAAACCCATAATATCCAAATCCATGGCAAAGTATGATTGTAAGTGTGATCACTTGTCAGAGATCCCAGAGGAGAAGGAAGGAGGAGAGTATTCAAAAGGAAATGGAAGAGAGGAGCAAGAGGTAGAAGCAAATGAGGAAAATGTCAAGGTGCATGGCGGAAGAAAGGAGGAAACAGAGATCCTATCACATGACCTTACAGACAAAGCAGAGGTGAGTGAAGGCAAGTCAGGGGGAGAGGCAGAGGATGGGCCTGAAGGTAGAGGGGATGGAACCTGTGAGGAGGAAAGTTCAGGAACAGAACACTGGCAAGGTGAGGACAGGGTGGAGAAGGGGGAGAAAGACAAGGGTAGGGGAGAAATAGAGAAGCCAGGAGAGGGAGAGAAGGACCTAGCAGAGAAGGAGGAATGGGAAAAGAGGGATGGGGAGGAGCAGGAACAAAAGGAAAGGGAGCAAGGCCATCAGGAGGAAAGAAACCAAGAGATGGAAGAGGGAGAAGGGGAGGAGGGAGGGGAGGAGGAGCACGAAGAAAGAGAAGAAGAGGAGGGAGACAGAGAAGAGGAGGAAGAAGAAGAGAAAGAGGAGGAGGAGGCAGAAGGGAAAGAGGAAGAAGGGGAAGAAGAGGGAGAAGGTGAAAAGGAAGCAGGAGAGGAGGAGGAGGAAGGAGAAAGGGGGAAGGAGGAGAAAGGAAAGGAGGAAGGAGACCAAGGAGAGGGGGAAGAGGAGGAAACAGAGCGGGGAAGGGAGGAAAAAGAGGAGGGAGGGAAAGTAGAGGAAGGTGAAGAAGAGGGGGAAGAGGAAGAAGGGGGGGAGGTGGAAGAGGAGGAAGGAGAAGGGGAAGGGGAAGAGGAGGAAGGAGAAGGGGAAGGGAAAGAGGAGGAAGGAGAAGGGGAAGGGGAGGATGAAGGGAAGGAAGGAGAAGGGGAAGGGGAAGAGGAGGAAGGAGGAGGAGGAAGGAGAAAGGGGGAAGGAGGAGAAAGGAAAGGAG